TTTCCATTTCAAATTCTTTCTCTCAAAATCACATGTACTAAATTATTATCCATATGTTTTCAATTGCAAATATAAACAGAAAGGATAAAGGGCATTTGAATGATGAACAAGACAATAATCGAAGGGTTTGGAGCCACTTCTTGTAGAGTGGTTGGGATCAAAGAAGTTCGGTCAATGTCCCCTTGGTTCTTATATATAATAATTTACCTTATAAAATGAACCAACAGATGTAGGAACAATATTAAAAAGAAAGTGCGTGGAAAAGAAAAAAATGGTGTTTCGTGTGGGAACAGATAGACAAAGTGCAAGCTTCTTCCTGCTAAATCTGAACGTTGTTCATTTTCTTTGAAGGCAGCATGATTCTATTGATATTAATTAATCTATTTGCATGATAAAGTTTTGATAAATGTATTTTACTGTCGGCAGACTTGTTGAAATTATACTAGGACTTTGTAGGATTTCAGCTTTCTTTGCAAGGTTCTAGCTCTCTCTCATTTCTCTGTAAGTCAGTGGAGTAATGTATAAGATACATGTTCGACGAAGACCTTTGCCGTGTCAACTAAGTTTCCAGATGAAAAGAACAAACAAGAACAAGTTTGCTTGAAAAGTAAAAACATTTTTGATCAAAGCATGCAGATTTATATACAATGAGGGTTGATGTGAAGGATTATACATATCATACATGTAATGGACAGTGTATGATTGTGCAATCTAGAAAATTCCAAGTCTTTGAAGGCTTTCCAAACTATATTAAACACTAGGCAATCTCGTGAAACAAATTGTCTTCAAGGAAGAGTCCACCAAGCCAAGCAGTGCTAGTGCTATAGCTCGGACTAGAATCCCCCAAATAGTTGATAAATGTCTGTGTCACTGATGGAGCCACTGACGGTGGAAAAGGAAGTGAAGATGTAGCAAGCCATGAATAATTTCCAGAGTTCTCTTGGTTGTTCAGAAGAGGACTATAGTCTGGAGCTTGAAGGTTTGGCAAATGAGAGAAAGGGGTAGTTTCATTGATTCCCTGAAGACAGCAGATAGGAGTACTACTTCCTACATCAAATTGAGATGAACTTAAAACTGAATTTTCGTTGCTGATTGATGAGATTGATGAGTTCAGAAGGTTAATGGTTTCCATATCAGTGAAAGTAGTAGGGTTGGTGGAAGCAGATGGAGCAGGTGGGGCTTGAAGGAGACATTGGAGAAATTGAAGCCTAGTCATTTGAGCAGCTTCTGTTTGCAGCCTCACAGCATGTTCCTCCCATGAATGGTGATCCATGAGCTCTTTCAGGTTAGCCAAAGCCATTAGATGAGGCAGGCTTGAGAAGATGTCAGTCCGTGGCCTGTGAGTCATGGGATCATACCCCATCTGGATTAGCTTCTTCTTCAAATGGGTGTTCCAGAAATTTTTTATTTCATTGTCTGTCCTCCCTGGTAGATGGCTTGCAATTGCCGACCACCTGTTCAAGAAAAAAGGGTAATTAGTGTGAACATACATACATGATTGAACTCCAAATTAAGATGCAAAACAAAAATGATTCTTCTTATAAATTGATTGAAGCAGTTACTTGTTTCCCAGGATGGAGTGCAGGTTGAGAATGGTTTGTTCTTCTTCTTGGGAAAATTTGCCTCTCTTAATATCAGGTCTCAAATAGTTGGTCCATCTTAGCCTGCAACTCTTCCCACATCGATTAAGACCTACAAATTAACCAAGAAACACCATCTTAGCAATCACAAGACAAAGAAACAAAAGAAGAAGAAGAAGAAGAAAACTAAAGGGAGAGGGAAGATCAAAATCATCAAATTTTCATATACCTGCAAGCTTGGGGAGGCCTCTCCAGCTTCCATGGCCATTTTTCTCTATATAACTAACAAGTTTCTGATCTTCCTCAGGAGTCCAGGGGCCTTTCTTGAGGCCACTCTCATCACAGCAGGGAGACCTTCCCATATTTCTATAGCTTCTTTTTCTGTTTTCTTATCTTCTGCTATAGATTATATGGTTGCCTCTGCCTCCCTCAAGTCCAAACATTAACTACAGCAGCTTACTATATATAGAAGTATTGCCCAGGAGCTTCCTGTTTGCTGGCAAAAGAAGTATGCCCTTTCTTCTACTTAAAATCTCAAATCTATCCTTTAATTTCTTATGTCTCTTTTCTCTTCCCCTATTTTGAAACGGTTTTGCTTTTGACATTTTGTTTCTGTAAGTATTAATAATTAAGTGGACCCCCTAATTTTGAAGCAAGAAAAGCCATAAAAACACATTGCAGCCAAATTGCTGATGAAGCTGCAGCTTGACTTATGATTAATTATATATATACATTCATATAATCCCTTCAACATAACATCTTTAATTATGGTTGAAATCAAATTATTATGAATTCATGAAGGAAGACAAACTAGAAAATGTCTCATGTAGCAGGTCAAGGATTGACAATGCTTTCACACTTAATTAGGCCTACTCTTCAAGTTCCTAATCTAATCATTAGGGGTATCCATTCTAATTTCTCAAATCCATCCTGCCAATCTTATTATGTCAATCTCGAATTTAAGATTTTTATTTAAAATCTCAAGTTTTAAAATTGTTAAAAAAAAAAAACTATATAATCATTTTTTTAATGACAATAATTTATTGATGATATTTGTTTACAACATTTATTAATAACAACCATATTTACAAACAAGAGACATTTTAAATAAAAAAAAATGATAAAAATTATTATCATGATATATTATTAACAAATATAGTCAACAAATATAATAATTCATCGTCCCCCATTACTATAAAGGGATCTAGAAATCTTGACCTTAGTTAAAATCATCCATGTCAAGAACATGACCATTTTAATTGTTATATATATATATATATATATATATGTATATGACAAGTTAGACTATTACTATTATACAAGATATTCCAATGGAAGGGCAAAATGGGGATTTGAAACAATATAATAATAAAACAGTCTGATTAAAGATATAATTGGTCATCCAAAACAAATAATGACAAAGGGCAGAAGACAGAAATCAGCATCAAAGGGAACAGGTGGCTGGTCATCGCTGGTCGGAGGAACGCATCCCATGCACGCAACACACTCGGCTGCTTCTTCTGTCGTCATTGATTGCATGGATCCCTCACAAAAACCTATTTTCAATTTCACGTATTAATATTTGTTTATGTGCCCAGATGGGTCCTTATTTTTTTCTCTTTTTTTTTAGCTGGCCAGCTTATGCATCAGCTCTTTAGCCTTTACCCACCCTCTCTCTAGTGTGGTTCTTCTCCGCTGCGCTCCTCGGCCCTCTGCAGCCCCTGTGACCTCGTTGATTCCTAAGCTGAAAATACGGTAATTTCTTGAAAGGTGTAAAAATTAAATATGTGAATCTTAATACAAGATTAACAATAAATGAAATACTTTTTTTTTTATTTAACTTACATGCGTAATGAGATTTTTTATCCAATACATACCTTCTCATGTATAGTTTTGGTATTAATTGTGAGCCCTATCACTTGAATCTCAAGTTACAAATTTAAGAAATGATTTTTATGAGTAGATTCAATTTGTCACGTAAATTTCGGATTAATAAACTTACTTGACATCTGATGACTAAAGTTTCGTGGGATCTCATGTTTCTTAAAAACAAAGTTTGGATTTTATTATCATGTAAAAATTGATAATAAATGTAGTTATCTTTGTTGTATTTAATTCACAAACTTTTTTTTGTTATTTTAAACTTTTTTTTGTTATTTTAACAATATCAAATTTATTTTCCCACTTAATAGAAGAAAGACAGTTTTTGTGTTTTCTGTTATCTGGCCCTTCGACAGCATCCTGTCCGCACAATTAAGATATAACCAAGTAACTAACAGAGGGCTTTCCAAAAACAATCAACTTCCATTTCATGAACTCTAGCCGTCCTCATAATAATTCTGAACATATTTCATGATTCTTTCTTGTTGTTCCGCTGTAAGCAGAAATTCAGAAGCATCGTTTTCAAACACCCAGATCAGTTATATAGGGTTGCCCTAACTAAAAGTGAACAATCAAGGGCTTTGCCAAGTAATAGCTCACATCTGTAGAAAACTGGTTCCTTCCTTCTACCCTTCTTCTATGTATAAGCCCAACAGAAAATAAGTTCACTTGATGAAAAAAGTTTTGCTTCATCTAATGAAAAATTATATCTATCTTTGCATATAGAGCTTTTTCCCTTCTGGATAAATGAATGCAGACAAGTAAGAACAAGACGTAATCCCCTGATTTCATTTGCTTTATTTCTGGTTTTCTCAGTGTAAACGAAACACGCTATCAGCTGAAACCATAGGTACAAATTAATTTAAACAAAAGAATGGAAACACAAACACGAATTTTAAAATCCTCAATCTACTGAATGCATTATTTAACCTAGAGAGAGAGCTACTATTATAAAAATGAACTAAAGTATGGTGAAATATATATGCAGACAACATTCTATATAATATGAAGCATCAGACCTTTTGCATAAAATTTATATAAAAAGCAAGGAGAAAATAGATAGCCAAATTAACTGCATCAATCAAGAACAATAAACAAATGCAGGGTAACGCATTCACAGAGTCTATTCTTGATATTATGGAATCAAATAATGCTGTAAGTGTTATACGATGAGTTCATGGAATGGAATAACTGCCACTGGAATTGGTGGCCCCAAATAACAACTATTTTCCTCAAAAGGTGGTAGGGATAGGGTTCTATGGCCTGATGTAATATGAGGAATCTTATAATTGTTCTTGTCTCTTTGCATAGCTTAATATGCATTGGCATTGAGAGTTATATATATATCTCTCCCTAGAATTTTAAAAACTGAGTCTCTTTCCACGTGTGTGCTTGATGATTTTGCAGTCTAACCAACCACATTGATCATAGGCCATCCATGGCTGCTGCTTGTGTATATGTGTGTGTGAAATTATTCCATAGTAGCAGCTCCCTCGAAAGGTTGAATAAAGGTTTATGATTTCTACTTGTTCCTATATCATCTCTGTTTTTACTTCTATATGGATACTACATAATAATCTTATGCAAAACAGAAAGGATCCAAATTCATA